GATTTTAACTTAACATTGCCCCTCTTGTCAACAACTGCTAAAAAATACCCTCTCATTAAAAAGATAACATTGGTTAAGCTATTTGCATGTCTTCAATTTTATATTTTTATAATTCTGTAATTTTGTTATTCATTAAATTTTTGATTTTCCTTGTTAATGGTGTCTATTACTCGTATATTCCATACACCTTACCAACGACCCATCTCACCCTCTTCCGCTCGACATGACAACTGATCCCAATACGGCAGAATCGGAAACCCGAAACGTGCCATTCATTGACCCAGTGAGCAGTTTTTACAAAACTGTTACTGGTAAAGGGGTAAGAGCTAAGGGCAGATAATTCTTTGCAAGTTTTGAAAATAATATGACTTAAGAAAAACTTACATTTTATAGTAGTAATAATTTTGAATCTTCAAAAACAGAAAAGTATGTAATTAAATTTTATCATTTGTAAACAATCATTGCAGATCCTGTGGTAAAATGTTCAGTAATTCACATGTAAATCAATGAACGTTTCACTGTAATTTATCTTGTACTACACATAAATATTTATTTATAATTTATTTTATTATTATATACTTCTTACAGGATATCTCCTTTAGTAGGAGGGATAATACATTTAAAAAGTTTGAGGAAATTCCAAAACCTAATTCAGATCTAATAGCATACATCGGTATCAATCTCTCGAGACCAAACAGGATCTCATCAAAGCAAAAAGGTCCCCATAAAGGTAAGCCGTATGATCAACTCGACACAAATAGGCATGCATCTATTTCTCACCTTGCATACAATGTCAATTGCTATGTTTACCCCGGAGAGAGCTTTACCCTTGACAAAGGAAACATAATTAGCAAAGAAACACAATACCATTAAATGCATGCCCAAGTATACTACTTCATTTAATAGGCTTTTCATTGACAGTAGAGAGATTAGCAAGATTAGCATATCTGTTTTTCTTAGCTGTCCTCCCCATCTGAAAATTGTAGTCTTGGATTTATGGAAATTAAATTAATCCTTAGACCCAAAGACGACTAATATTGTCATATTATATATGGCTTTCTCCGAAAGTAGACACAGTATTTTTGTCGAAAACACCGATCATCTGCAAACTGAAGTAGTTGAATGTCGAAGCCACCTATGATAATGACTGTCTCTTAAGTCTACACTGTCATTTACATAGACAAACAGCAAAAGGCTAAGGGCATTTCTCCTTTGTGATGGGTATGCCTAAAAATAATTACACATTATCTCTAAAACAGACCATATTTCATAAAAATAAAAAGTTCATCTCTGTTGAAAATTTAAACATACCGATGGCAACATTTTCTATCAAGAAACCTGACCCCCCATGCATCACACTTTCCTTCAACAGATATATGACTAGCACGACTCAACACCTTTCAGGTAAATTTTTTAATCAAATAAACAATTTCCAGTTTGCATATAGTTAACTGTGGTCTCCTGCCCCTCAGCTTTCTCTAATAGAAATGGGGCAATTAATCAAAATAGAAAAATCACATCACAATTTCCGATTCTTCCACATTTTATAAATTAATTTTTGTTTCGGTTGATTGTTAAATTAATATCTTAAGTTTCCAATAATTTAATTAGGAATTTTTTAAATTAAATTAATTAAATTATTGGAAACTTTCACATCAACAAAGCAGAATAGTTTGATCAAATCAAGGTCAGTGGTTGGCAAAAATATTTAAGTGCCAGCAAAACAGTTATAAAATTTAATTTTGTTTACATTTTATTGAAAAATATATAAAATTACCTTCCCTTCCCAACGAATGGTGAGGAGTTGCCAGGTATATATAAAGAATGGTAATTAGAGTGGCATAAAGCATCTACCTTTCGTACTCCCATTTAATCTTTCCTTCCTAATTTTGCCAAAGTTGAAAACAAGAAAGGAGGAAAAATTTCAGAGATAGAAAGACTGATGAAGAAACATTAAATCTAGACATCCAGAAGAACAAACTGATACCGGTTGACTATTGTGACAGCCCAAAATGAAAAGAATCAACTGTACATTTTGGCACTTTATAATAACTACAACCAAGAAGTGTAGTGCAACTTAAAATCTTTGCATGATAGAGTACTTCTCAAAATCTTTTCTCTGAATTTTTTACTTATAATCAATCAATAAATTTGCAAAGATTAGTGTAATAAGGAAAATGGAAAGTAATCCCATTCCTGTATAATAAAAGCAGGAACCACTTACGGTAGATCCTAATTTTACAATCCTTTTAATCGTACGACAAAATAATTCAAATGATATTAGATAATAATTTAGTATTGCTATTTCTAAGAGCTTACTACATTTTAAATCCTACAAAGGTTCTAGTAAGCATTATTATTTTGTTCGCATAATGTATTGTTAATGCGAAAAATAAAATTACATAGAAATGTGCAAAAATGACTCGCTACCTCTACCCATGTAGGAAAACACATTTTACAACGAATTGCATGGCTCTGTGTGAATCTTGCAACACTAAGACACACCGAAAAAATAAAAAGTGCAATGCATTAGGAACTACAGACTTGTAATGATGACCACTCAAACTTTGTCCATAAAGTACTTGTTGCTTGTATAATTTTCATGTTTGCATATAAATTTAGTATGTTTGTGTAACATCTTTCACTTGATCACACTTGTTTGTTGGTACCCAATTTATATTAGTTTGGACCGGGTCACGGATTTCTTTCCGCTCAGAGCACCGAGGTCTAATAACTTATACGTAATTAGTTTGTATACTCTGTATACTAATCCTATAGTGGGCTTGTAACATTTAAGGAAAAACAGAACACACACACATGCTGTACACGTATTTAAAGATAAATAAGTGGAGTGTTAGTCCCTAGATATCTAATGAAACCTGTTATCTTTTCCTCGGTGGATTTAACCAAATCAAAAGAAATGCAACATTGGACAATCCACCAATAATTGAACCGGCAATTTGGAATAAGTTAATTTTGGTAATGAAAGTCTGACTAAACATCTTGTGGGTATATACCATAAAATTGCCTTTTGGGAGGACAGCCCCCGTTTAGGAATTTAGATGTGGATAAGTAATCGTCACGTAGTATATGGGTGTTCAATAAATAACCAGCCAATGAGCACAGCTGTGAGCAGAAAATTTGCATGCAAATGCACAGTGCACCAAAGTGACACCCATATAGAGTAAACATCCATGGCCTCAGTCATTTGTTCAAGTGATTTTTGTTGGACAATGAAAGCCTTCAAAGTTGAATAATATGGAGTAATCAGGCTCCTTGTTTCGGAAGGTTGCAGACCCACTGCAATTCATCACTGAATGCATCAGGTGTATGGTCCATACACCGTAAGACTTGTGGGCCAAAAAATTTTGGGAAGGACAACCAACAACTGGGATATATGCAGAATGTGCAAATGGTGGAAGACTTGGTGCTAGTGAACATATGGATAAAGGTCCATGACATTGCAGCTGCAGTAGACCTGAGTGTTGGTACTGTGCACAAAACGTTGCATTTCAGGAAGGTGTGCACATAGTAGGTGCCACATTCACCCACTTAAGAACAGACCCACAACTGGATGAGCATCTGACACATTTTGCTACACATGATAATGGTTTTCATCATCACATTGTGATGGGAGATGAGAGTGTTTCCATTGTGTGCCAGCATGCAGTGGAAACACCCACTTCCACCCAAAAAGAGCAATTGTGTGCAACCATTGGCAGGAAGGTGATGCTCACCCTGTTTTTTGATCATCAGGTACCTCTGCTTGTTCAGTTTATGCAGCATGACATCATCATCAATGCAACATCCTACTGCAACACCTTGCATGCATTACGCGCACAACTTCAAGGAAAACTCAAGATGTCAAGGCTTGTCCTCACACAGCTAACATGACAAAAAACCTGCTACAGCAGTTTTGTTGGGAGGTACGTGAGCACCCTCCCTATGATCATGACCTGTCACCCTGCAGCTTGCATGTTTTTGAGAAACTCAAAGGGGCACTTAAAGGCAGATTATTTTCCTCATACACTGAAGTGCAAGATGCTGTCCAACATTGGCTCCACCAACGTCCTGCTACATTCTTCAAACAGGGCATAACTAGGCTGGTGTCACAATGGGATAAGTGCCTTAACAATCAGGGCAATTATCGGTGAAATAAATAGTTTCTATTTCATGCTGTTGCATTTGCCTTTTTACTACTGAGTATCCCTTATGGATTGACATCTTCATTTTCCACAGGCTTTGCATACTTGCAATGAAATGCCAAAATATTAGTAGTGATGTAAATTTGCAGCTCTGTCGGGTGAGATGTCATCGTTGCTGTTGTCAAACTTTTCAAAAAGGTTACTCGCCTTACAAGGATTGTTTGGATTTGAGAAATGTCTTTTATGCTTTGATGCATAAATATGGTAACCATTAGTCATTGTCTCAATGCACTGTTCACAGTATCCATCCTCCTTTAGTCATGTTGGAATAAATAAATCAAAAATAATAATGCATTACATCATCTACAGGGAGAGTCAAAAGTAGGTATTAAGTTCTTTTTATTTTTTAGGTACTGAAAAACAATGGCAGAGAATCCAAGTGAACAAAAAAAAATGGATTCTGAAACATTATTGAAAGATTGAAAATACCATAAAAATATTTTATGTTTATGTAAATAATTTATTTATTCCACAGTTTCATAAACACTGATAGGTATATTCTGACTAGATACTATAGATATATCCTGTTTACAAACATGCAATAATGATGAAAAAGTGACTAATATAATGGGATCATAGGTGAATGGAATAGGGTATAGAAAAAGTGTGTTCATCACAGGACTAAGAAGCTCTCTACATTTTATGTTGTCACTACTTTTCCAATGTGGATGCCTAGTTAAGGATTTAGTAATTGGTTAAAAATGAATGCATATATTTTATTAAATTTACATCACACACAAAATAAGAAAATTTTTACTTACTTCCATAACAATGTATTCTGTCTTCGTACATACAGGATTATTGTAGAAGATAAATTAAAGAGACCAAAGCCTTCCGATTTTTGGATAACTTCCTTTATTTTTGAATATTACTAATAAATTCTCGTACATCGAAGAAACAATTAAAATAAAACCGTGCAATTTTGCCTCGCTGCTTCAAGATCCAAATGTTACGTGTATAGTAAAAATGGAAAGTCTTAAATATGAATAAGATTATAGTCTGCTCTATATTTTGTTGTATCCAGTTCATTCTCTGTTGAAATATTTTTCAGTTTTTGGAAATCTTTCGGGTATATAGTCCGAATCGTTGCGTATGCGATCCTGTATGGCACACTTTACTTGTTCTCTGTAAGCATTGTGTAAAGACGTGTCTTGCACGGCATCCCGACGCAATTCCTCCATACTGGTAATGGGCTGTACGTTAACTGATCTAACCGCTCTCTGTATGGCTTCGGGCAAGATGGTCTGAATTGCTCCAATTGTATTATTTGGCATCATCTATAACAAAAGTAAATATTTAAATTTAGTGTAATTTATAATGTACGTTGAAACATGTTTACACTTACTCGTCTTCGTTTCGAAGGCATTCCGTTCAAATAGGCATCGCTAAATGGAGGCTGAGGAGCCTGCCGACGTTGTCGCCTAATGTCACGAGTGATGATTGGAACCCATTCCTGACAGACAAAAAAAGTAAATGAATTGTGTCATAACTCAAAATAAATTCTAGTCACATTTTACCTTTGGTACAGATGCATGCCAAGGTTCAGAACCTATTGTAACTTCACCCAATTCGTCATCTGATAACGAGCCGTATAAACCCGTTGCAGATGTTGCACCCTCAAAGTTGTTTTGATTTATTTCTTGTATGCTCTCTGCTTCCATTAACTACAGAATATTTGAGAAAAAAATTTATTGCTACTTCATATTCCAAAATTTATGAAAAAATAAATAAATAAATACTAAACCTCTGGTGAACTTTCTTTAGTGGCCATTTCTACACTTCCAGATGCCACATCACTCTGAGCAACTTCATTGGATGTAGTATCGTCTTCCATCATCTCCAAACCGGAATTATATGCATTACTTTCTGAATTTGCTGCAAGAAGTGGTGTTGCCTCATCACTTGTTTCTTTCGACACATTCACTACATAATGTTCTACTTGTTCTGCCGTTATGCTAATGTTGGCCAACATTGTATGAAACTCTGAGGCACCTAACGTAGTCAACCAGTTCAGAACTGGACGTAGATGATTGGCGTATTGTCTCTATAAATAGTTATAGTTTAATACAATGACATACGACTATTTTCGTTAAGAAAAAGTACTCACAACTCTGCCTTCAAAAATACGTTGTAGAGATGTTATGCCATCTACCGAACAATGTATGGTAAGAATGATGAACTCGGATATTATGGTACGACACATGGTATAAAGGTACACGGCAAAACTGGACCCTTCTGTAAAATAATTTTCTAGTGTCTAACTTAAAGTCTTTTGTATGAGGACAGACAATCAGAAACTTACCAGGTGGATGCAAAACAAAAGTGATCAATTGGCGCAAATTTTGCCTCAAGAAAGTGTTAATTGTTGCCACAAAATCAATGTCGGGTTTCACGTTAGCATCTCTCTAAAATGACAATTAGCAACAAATTATTTAATATTAGAATTATTTACAATAAAAATTAACTTACAGCTGATCCCTGAATTAGTTCTTGTAACTGACTGATCACACTGTCAATTGCTGAATTGATGTTTTCATTTGTTTCTTCCTGACCATTTAATAACCTTTGCCGAATAAAATCTTGTAAGCCAACTCTGACATGTTCCAATGGCTCGGGACGACCAACAAATATTTCAATGAGATCGTGTTCTGTTAGTGAATTGACCACTCTAGCAAATAAATCCCAGATAATATCTACAGAATATTAAAATTTATTACATAAACTTGTTATAAAAATTTAAATAATGCTTGTATTTTTGCCATCTTACTCTGACTAGATGCTGCACTACCATCTAATGAAAGAGAGGATAGCTGTCCAATAGTCATCCTGTTTGGTCGAGGACCAGCTGCACCAGCTACCATCTAGAAAATTAGACGAATGAAAATTGCAGATGTATCCAACAAACAGTATTTATCAAATAAACAAATCCCTAAAATTTACTTGTAACAGTGACGTAAAAGTCTCATCAGTGGAAGCCTGGTGACGTCCCATGTTTCGAAGTTCTGATTCAAACATTTGGACATTAGAATGCCTCTCTTGCTCAGATTCACGCTATAAAAAGAAAGAATTAGGGGACAATGCAATTTAAAATCACTAAGCTCTTCACGTACAAAAAAAACGAACGTACCGGAACCATTCGTGTTCTTACGGGTCTGAATCTTCTAGATCTGGGAACGGATGGCAATGCCCAACAAGAGTTGCAAGGAAGACACGGATCGAATAGAGAAAAGCCGCCACCCATATTAGAAAGAGGCATGGAAAGTGATGCGAAGTTTCTGACAGAATTGATACCACTGTCTTGGGATATACGAGGACCTGTGGTTCCAGAAGGTGTAGTGTTAGTTGTGGCACCTCTATGCGACTGTGGTTGACTGCTTTCAGTTGTAGCTGTAAAAATAAAATAAAAATATTAGTTTATATCTATTATATGAAAATTACATGCGACACTTACAGGTTGTGCTTGTTGTAGAACTTGACGCGGTTGTCAAGCCAACATGTTCGGCCTGACTAACAACAGTGGCAGATATACTGTCAATGGTAATAGAATTTGGTCCAACTTCCATAAACATCAATGGACTCTGACTACCAAATAATGAAGATGCATTGGAAAACATTGATGGTCCAGAAAAGGAATTTGTAGTGGTGGAACTAGAAGTTGAACTTGTATTAGCAGTTGTGGTAGTGTTTGTAGCAGTAGCAGCAGCAGCAGAAGCTTCTGTTGTGGCTGAAGCAGGCTAGAAAAAATACTCTACTTAAAATAAAAAATTTCAAAATTTTTGTAACTATTTAATAAAATTTGTTCTCTTATATTAGTTACTTCTTTCAATAATTGCAAATTGTGGCAAAGCAATTTTAAGAAATTACTACCTCCCATTCTGCATATTTTTCTCCATTTCTGAAGCATATAATTTCCATGTAAGAATTCTTGAATGAGAAATAAAATCTAACTTGTTTTAAAGTTTAATTTCATCCAATTTTTGCTAAATAATATGTAAATGATGTACAGTACAATAGCCATTAAAAAGAAGATACATTTCAAAAAGTTTTACTGACAAAATAAATAAAATTAATGGGTTTTCACTCTAAAATAACTCAAATTTTTCTCAACATTTTAACACATTTCAAAATCATATCTCCAGCATTGAAGTATATACTTAATATATGAATTCACGGAAAGTTTTACCAAACATTGCAGATATAATTACTTTAACAAGACAACTTCAAAATACAGTGGGTGATTGGTTAACGAACAGTTCAGATAGCAAACAAATCAGATAATGAACACTTTCGCGAAATATTTTTATGATCGAACAATGAACACTTTATTGAACAAACATAAAAAGAAGTGACGGAAAATAACGAATAACCAATTGATTTCCCCTTGTCTTCAAGTAACAATTTGAAACCTTTTGGAGTGTGGGAGATGTCAACATCGACGCTCAACCCGATACCGATCAGATAGTATTCCTCAGAATTTTGTAACTCTCCCTTATAATTCTAGCTTTTTGTTGATCTTTCTGGCAAATAATTTTTTAGTCTTTGCGAGACTGTCGGACGGACACTTGTTTTGTGTCGGGTTTATTTACGAAAGGTGAAAGTTTAATGTCCCATTGGATATTTGTTAACGTTTTAATACCAAATTTCAAATTTTATCCAATTATATTGCATTTAAATAATTTTTTGTGTGCTAGTTGATGTTCTCTGAATTTTTGTAAGTGCTTTTCTGAACTTTTTATTTAAAAAAGAAACTGATAATATTATGGAGCCTAAAAAGAGGAGTGTCAAGAACTGTGCTCACCCTAGAAACCAAGTAAGAGATAATAGCCAAGGTAGAAAGTGGGCAGAAGATATGATGTTGCTAGGCAGTATGGCTTGAGCAGGTCTACAGTAGGCACAATCTTAGCTATGAATGATATATCAAGAAGTCTCAAGCTGCTAATGGAGTAATGAAAATCACATCTGAGAAATAAAGAGCATTTTAGAGCTCATAATGGAACAACTCCAAGAACTCTCAAATGAAAAATACCAAGAAACTCAGCGAGATGTGTTTTCTTCTGAAAAAGAGGAAGATAAAAAAGGATCAATGCCAACATCTGCTATTAAAGATGTTTTGAAGAAGTGGAAGAATGTCAGAACAACAATCTTAGGGTTGTTTCGCACTATGACCGACTGGCCCGACTCCGAGTCGTGTTGCCATGGCAACAGCAGTCTGCCGACCGACTAGTCGTTCCAGTCGGACAGATTTGAAAAGTTAAATATTTGAAGTCCGGTCGGAGTAGTCAGTGAGCTACAGCCAATGAGAGCTTCGAAGCTATAACCAATCAGAGTTTAGATTTATCCAATCTATGTCGAAGTTAGAAAATGGCGGAAAGTATAGATTTCTCGGAAGCTTTAATAAAAGAAGTCAGAACATATCCGTGGCTTTATGATATTTGGCGAGCCGATTATAAAGAGAACATAAAAAAAATAATTCTTGGACGGAGATTTCCAAGAAACTAAACATTGAAGGTACACGATTGACTAATCTAATAATGACACGATATATCTAAATGCACGATCAATTTCCATGATGGCCATGTTTTCTGTTTAATTTAAAAAACTTACCATGATTGGCTAGTGTATTGATCTATAACACGCGTTCTGATTGGTCCTTATGAGTCGGCCACCGACATATAATCGTACTTAGTGTGAATGCTTTAACTACTAGTCGGTCCGATTATAAAATCGGTCGGGTCGGACCAGTCTGTCTAGTCGGTCATAGTGTGAAACAGCCCTTAGAATGGCATCCAAACCAAGTTGAGGTTAATAGGCTTGGGGATCTCTATGACGATAATGCTATTAATTACATCAGAAAAATCCTGAAGAAGAGAGAAAAAGAATCTGTCCAAAGTCGATTGCTTAACCCTTACAAACAGAAAAAAACATGACTAATAAAAATGCAAGACTGTATATATGTATTTTTAATATTACATATAAATAAATGTAGTAAGAAAGTATATATATTTTTTAATTTTTTGGAGTCTCCGGAATGAATTAATCAAATTCCCATAAAAACCTATGGTAAATTGATAATCAGTTAACGAACAATTCGGATAACAAACAAAGTCTTGGAACGGATTATGTTCATTAACTGATCACCCACTGTATCTGCAAATTGCATTTATGGCAATATCAATAGCAACAAGCATTATTTTTTCTAAAATATCCTATCAATGTCATTTCTTATTTGTCAGTATTAATGATATCACATTAAGACATTTGATTTTTAAATGTCTGTACAGATGGAATTCTAAAATTGTCTTCACAATTTAAAAAGCAACACTCAAAAGGTCTGAAAGGTCAAGGGCTGGTCTATACAGAATCTCAGTAATGATACTTTCAACTATAAAGGATCACAATTTTGCTCAACACCTTGTTGGTAACTTCTGTAAAGTATCTATTACTTAAAATGTCATCTTGGTGTTCTGTCAGTTGGTTAGTAAACTTTCTGGTGGTGACTCCTATGTCATATAACTTTGAACTTGTCTGCAAATAGTGTAAGAGAATCAAATAAATACCAGACCTTTCTAAGTGCAAATATACATCCCCATTGTTAAATTAAAGAATTCTGCATATGGATAATTGTGGTTTGATGGGAAAGACCAGTTTTCTGAAAATACAACTGAACTGAACTGAAACATAATGAAACAGGTCCTAAATAAAGGATGAAATAGCCTTTATCTATGAAATGAATGGGTCATTTTATGAAGACCTTCATGGCAATTATTCAACAAATTTGCAAGAAAAAGCAAGAACCACTAATGGAAATGGGTATAAACACACAACATTCACTTTTAATGGAACTTTAGATTTATTTTCTGGCAAGTTACCAAAGAACCATTTAAGCCTCATAGTAATACTTGTAGGTGCATAGTTGAAACAATACATTATAAACACACAGTTTGATATATATGATGATAATGATATACGAAAGAATAACAGAAGAGTATCTAAAATACAGTCAACTTGCATTAATACGAATCACTAGGAAACTAGTAGTTATTTTGCTTTATCAAAAATTCATATCAATGATTTTCAGGATCAAGGTTGTATTAGGTTGTTAAAGCTTAATAGGTAATTGAAATTTCTAAATTTTAATATTTTGAACTAAATAAATAAAGTCAAATAAAATTTAATTTGTTTTTGTAAATAAATTTACAATCTAAATGATTTCCAAACCACTATGCACTCTTCAATATGCAAACTAGCATGTGTTTGCATGGGATAACATCCATTTAAAGAGTTGGCATCATTAAATTTTAACCCCCATTTTCTGAGTACAAAATAACGATCCACTAAAACCAGATGTTTTAATTGCTCTATAATTGGAGATCTGTTATTCTTTTCATTTATCAGTGATAAATGGTATGTGAATTGTTTACAGTACAGTAGATCCCCCTATAAGACGGTAGATACGTTCCATTCTTTATGAATCAATTTTGTAGGAATCATAGTTTACGGACTACGGCTGTTTGAAAGGTTTTCTTTCATAAAATTAATCGATTCTAGACTAATTCGACTCAACATTTCCAAAATACATATATTTTTTTGAAAATAATCCGTATAAACTACGTTATAAACAAAAAATTGTAGGATT